GTTTTGTCTGTTCTGTAATTAGTTAGTGACATATGTATGTGTGTTATGTCTGTCCTGTTGGTTAGTTACATATGTATTCGGTTTTGTCTGTCCTTTTAGTTAGTTACAGATGTATGTGTGCTTTGTCTGTCTTGTTAGTTAGTTACATATGTCTGTGTGTTTTGTCTGCTCTGTAATTAGTTAGTTACAGATGTATGTTTGTTTTGTCTATCCTGTTAGTTAGTTGCATATGTATGTGTGTCGTGTCTGTCCAGTAATTAGTTAGTGAAATATGTATGTGTGTTCTGTCTGTCCTGTAATTAGTTATTGACATATGTATGTGGGTTATGTCTGTCCTGTTAGTTAGTTACATATGTATGTGTATTTTGTCTGTCCTGTAAATAGTTAGTTACATATGTAGTGACATATGTATGTGTGTTTTGTCTGTCCTGTAATTTAGTTACATATGTATGTGTATTTTGTCTGTCCTGTAAATAGTTAGTTACATATGTATGGGTGTTTTTTCTGTCCTGTTAGTTAGTTGCATATGTATGTGTGTTTTGTCGGTCCTGTAAGTTAGTTACATATGTATGTATGTTCTCTCTGTCCTGTTAGTTAGTTGCATATGTATGTGTGTTTTGTTTATCGTGTAATTTAGTTACATATGTATGTTTGTTTTGTCTATCCTGATAGTTAGTTACATATGTAGTGACATATGCATGTGTGTTTTGTCTGTCCTGTTAGTTAGTTCCAGATGTATGTGTGTTTTGTCTGTCTTGTTATTTAGTTACAGATGTATGTGTGCTTTGTCTGTGTCTTGTTAGTTAGTTACATATGTCTGTGTGTTTTGTCTGTCATGTAATTAGTTAGTGACATATGTATGTGTGATTTGTCTTTCCTGTAAGCTAGTTACATATGTATGTGTATTTTGTCTGTCCTGTAAATGGTTAGTTACATATGTAGTGACATATGTATGTGTGTTATGTCTGTCCTGTAAGTTAGTTACATATGTATGGGTGTTTTTTCTGTCCTGTTAGCTTGTTAGTTAGTTACATATGTATGGGTGTTTTGTCTCTCCTGTTTGTTAGGTACATATGGTGATAAACGTTTGTCTGCAAGTTAGTTACATATGTATGGGTGTTTTTTCTGTCCTGTTAGTTAGTTAGATAGTTAGTTACATATGTATGTTTGTTTTGTCTATCCTGATAGTTAGTTACATATGTATGTTTGTTTTGTCTGTCATGTAATTAGTTAGTGACATATGTATGGGTGTTTTTTCTGTCCTGTTAGTTAGTTCCAGATGTATGTGTGTTTTGTCTATCCTGTAAGTTAGTTACATCCTGTTAGTTAGTTACATTTGTATATGTGTTTTGTCTGTCCTGTTGTTAGTTATTGACATATGTATGTGTGTTGTGTCTGTCGTGTAATTAGTTAGTGACATATGTATGGGTGTTTTTTCTGTCCTGTTAGCTTGTTAGTTAGTTACATATGTATGTTTTTTCTCTCTGTCCTGGTAGTTAGTTACATATGTATGCGTGCTTTGTCTGTCCTGTTAGTTAGTGACCTGTGTATTTGTGTTTTGTCTGTCCTGTTATTAGTTATTGACATATGTATGTGTGTTGTGTCTGTCGTGTAATTAGTTAGTGACATATGTATGGGTGTTTTTTCTGTCCTGTTAGCTTGTTAGTTAGTTACATATGTATGTGTGCTTTGTCTGTGTCTTGTTAGTTAGTTACATATGTCTGTGTGTTTTGTCTGTCATGTAATTAGTTAGTGACATATGTATGTGTATTTTGTCTGTCCTGTAAATGGTTAGTTACATATGTAGTGACATATTTATGTGTGTTTTGTCTGTCATGTAATTAGTTAGTGACATATGTATGGGTGTTTTTTCTGTCCTGTTAGTTAGTTCCAGATGTATGTGTGTTTTGTCTTTCCTGTTAGTTAGTTACATTTGTATATGTGTTTTGTCTGTCCTGTTGTTAGTTATTGACATATGTATGTGTGTTTTGTTTATCCTGTAAGTTAGTTACATATATATGCGTGTTTTGTCTGTCTTGTAAGTTATTGACATATGTATGTGTGTTGTGTCTGTCGTGTAATTAGTTAGTGACATATGTATGGGTGTTTTTTCTGTCCTGTTAGCTTGTTAGTTAGTTACATATGTCTGTGTGTTTTGTCTGTCATGTAATTAGTTAGTGACATATGTATGTGTATTTTGTCTGTCCTGTAAGTAGTTAGTGACATATGTATGTGTATTTTGTCTGTCCTGTAAATAGTTAGTTACATATGTATGCGTGCTTTGTCTGTCCTGTTTGTTAGTTACATATGTATGTATGTTCTCTCTGTCCTGTTAGTTAGTTAGATAGTTAGTTACATATGTATGTTTTTTCTCTCTGTTCTGTTAGTTAGTTACATATCTATGCGTGTTTTGTGTGTCCTACATATGTATGTGTGTATTGTCTGTCCTGTTAGTTAGTTCCAGATGTATGTGTGTTTTGTCTGTCTTGTTAGTTAGTTTCCTATGTAGGTGTGTTTTGTCTGTCCTGCTAGTTAGTGACCTGTGTATTTGTGTTTTGTCTGTCCTGTAAGTTAGTTACATCCTGTTAGTTAGTTACATTTGTATATGTGTTTTGTCTGTCCTGTAATTTAGTTACATATGTATGTTTTTTCTCTCTGTCCTGTTAGTTAGTTACATATGTATGCGTGTTTTGTGTGTCCTGTAAGTTAGTGACATATGTATGTGTGTTTTGTCTCTCCTGTTTGTTAGTTACATATGGTGATAAACGTTTTCTTACTCATTGTAAAATATACCATAAACACGAATAAAAATATGCACAGGCTTGTTTTTCGGTAATGTCATATTTTCTTACTCTATTTTGTTTACCTTTTTTTTTTTTATTTCTTTTGCGGTTTTTCTACACAGCAAAAGGGAAAAATAATTTGCGCATTCCCTGTACATTTTCGGCCTATTACCAAGCAAAATAAATTCCTGAAGTTTGAAGTTGGCAAAATTATAACCTTCCTCTTATATATTATACAAACATTATTATTATTTATGACATTTACACGGTTATTTAATACTTTGTTCTACAACTGTGTTTGTCGCCTTTATCCGTATCTATTCCTTGTTTTGAAGGTCAGTTCCGTACGATTATAACGTAATGTATAGGTAAATGTTCGTAATTGTGTACGTACATGTATGTTACAGCGCAGGTCTTCATCCGTTCTATGTTTCAATAATATGCGAAATTTAGATAATGATTAGATATATTAATTGACAGTAAAAGGAAGATTGTAATCTATCTTATTTTCTAGATTTCGAATGGTGCCTGTACAAATTCTATAACGACTCACTATCCTGGTTTGACGCTAAAGCAGTATGTGAACAGGACAATTTGATCTTGGCTGAAATTACGAGCACTTCTCAGCTAACCTACCTCAGAAACCTGATGAGCAACCTATCCAAAATTGATGCCCACCCTCCAAGGTACATTATATATATACAAAACTGTCATCGTCAATGAAAATCATCTCTTGTTTTGAGTTGTAAAGTTGAAAGTTTACTTAACACACACTTTGTACGTATTAGCTTGACAAAGGGACCAGTCGGCCTTGAACATTGCGACACGTTTAATACCTACATTGTTTGTGGATAATGCACACTTTGATTTTATATATTTCCAAACTGTTTAATCTGTTTGAAGTGTTAAGTTGAAAGTCTTGATTACTATAGGTATTCAAAATAAATGTTACTCATCATTGATGCTTTGCATACTAGAATCTCAAACCTAACGAAACGAAAATAGCTGCTTAAAATCTAAAACGAAAATAAAACACGAAGACTTTATTTCCTGACTCAGAATTTCAAACCACACTAAACAATCTGCATGATAGCGTGTATTTGTGTGTGCTGACAAAGCATCTAGTGTTTTAATATTTGTCTGCAAACACTATTACTCTGTCTTCTTGCAAAAATGTAACTGAGAATGCTTGATAACCAAGGTTACCCTATTTATATACTTTACAATTTTTCTCAAGACGAAATACTTGATAATGAAATTGTGAGAATGATTGAGTTCCTGGTTTTAAAATGTCTTTGTTGAATACAGTGGCAAGATTTTCCATCAGTGTAGACTATAGGCATGCCGATGAGAATAAACTGTGCCCCTCCTCTGGCCGATTTGTTTTGTGCAAGGCTTAACTTTTGACGAGCGATTAGGACAACAAAACCTTAGCCAAGTCCTTTAATTTAGCATTCATATGTCGACGATGTGATGCCATCGTGATCAAATAGTGAAATGTGTTTTTGGTCTTTGTGTGATATGAAGGTCGATATTATTTATTATCTCGTTAGAATGGTTTTGTTGTCACCACTCCGTTCTCACTTAGACGACGTGACATAACTTTGATTTCTCGAAGATTCAATGCCGTGTGTCGTAGATGAAGCAGAATACGCTTACCCTACCGAGTATCTGGTCGTATTCTCTTTGTATATATTTTTACGCTACTCGCATCATGTTTGTGTAAACAAAAACCACCATGGCCCTAAATGACCATAGTTGTCGAAGAGCCGTAAAACAAAAACAAATAAACAAACAAAATTGTTTATATTTTTGCTCTTGTGTCGATCTTAAGTTCACAAATTTGATTATAAAATGCATTTATGTTTATGAATTGATTTTATTTTAACTTTAAAACTGTTCCCATTAAAATGTATAAAAAATAGACACTTACCAGCCAATTGTTCAAGTGCCTACTTAAAATTTATATCCAAGCTACGCCCCTGAGTTTGGTATTGCTAACTGCCAAATCATCGATTAACTTTATTCGGCGATCAACTCCATGTGATTCACTACGTACCTGTACTAGCACTGCACCTGAACGTATTACCCCTGTAAATGTGTAACATGTATTTGAGATTTTACCAGTCGGATAAACGTATACAATATGCACTATTTCATAGTACAATTGAATCAGACTTGAACAAATCTAAGGTGATCATAATAGTCCTTCATGACCAAGGTGTGGAGGATAGGAAAATTCCACCCGAAGGATTTTCAGAATGGATGAAATCTGATGCTTTGCCGAGGGGTTTGCACCAATTAGTAAACTATGAGGGGAAGACTTCTTTATTCTGCCAATCTGGGAATGAAAGGGTATTTCTCTTTAATTTAAATCACCATAATTAGCTGATTAACTACAAAACGATAATGGGGGGAAAACGTATATCTCACACCGGGAAAAGCGTGGACACACCCTTTCTAAGGAAAAGAAACAGAAATTTCATACATCCTTTCTTACTCTGTTCAATTTTGTCACATACGCACAAGAATGAGAGAAAAAATGATAAAGACGATGGGAAAACCGTAAATTTTAACATACTAAAATGTATTCCCTAGTAGAATAATAAAACTTGTAGCATGATGTCTAACTAGTCTCATTATTCCGACGACAACTAACCAGATGTGCCAAGGGTTACCGTCGACTGTTTCATCCTAGCATTGCTTTTTCGAACTTGATTTGTACATATAACTTTCTATTCTTCAAGCATAAATTAATCCTGCAAATTCTAAGGGGGTTCAAGATACCTTTTATTTTGATCCTAAAAATGAAATGATCCGTAAATTGTCCCAGTATGTTGAAGCAACTGTATATTTTGTTCCATATAGCCTTGAGCTATCAATATAAACGACGATGTTCTTTGATTTAGCTCTGTGTGGATAGGTGCATACCGCGCTAACAATGAGAAGGCTCGATGGCAGGATGGCTGTGACCATGTCGGTGATAACACGTTTGTAACGGGTCAGAGCGGCGATGCTTGTTTTTTGTTCGACGGTAACAGCACGTTTGCGTCCAAGCCATGCAACACGAGCCAACCCTTTTTGTGCCAGGCATCTACACTAGGTAACGTATATCTACATTATCAAGTCCAGTACAATTATGCGGATTATACTGATACAAGTTTTTTGCAGAAATAGTGGAGGAACCACATAATTATATCGTTTGTTTTTCATTCGCAACGACAGCTTAAAGTTAATATGCCGCAAAATGTCAGAAAAGCTGTGGTTAAACTTGCAAGTATGGTGGTTTGATAGGATTTCAATGACTTATGGTGATGTCAGGACTAAGCGTGCGAACCCTTTCCCGACTGCTATTATCTCAACAGAAGCAGGGTTGAGGCCATGTTTACGACATTATTATGTATACTGGAATTCACGAGATGTCACGAGAGCAGGATCCAACGTATAGAGACTATAACCTCGACTGGGTCAGAGATAATATTTACACAATCAACGTGTTACTCTAAGCCGATTCAGTTCTCATCTGTCAAGTACATGTAAAAGCCTCGCAACTCTTAGAAGTGGACAAACTCACGTTTTTCCTAAGTAAGCGGATGCATACTTTCGCTTAATTACACTGTTGATCGACGTCCAGCTTTATTTATTTTTTCACGATTCTTGGTCGTCCACGTTTTAGCATGGGTATCGTCATTTCATCGTACGCATCTGGGCCAGCTTAACATTATGTAAAATATTGAATTCGAAATACAGCACGTAAGAAAATCAAATTCGTTTTTATTTTATATCTTTGACCCGTTTCGCTTCCTCAAAGTGGTATTAACGGAAACGTAATAACTTTTGTAGACTGAAACAGAGGGTCGCTGAATAATTACGTGTAGACGTGTATTATGAATATCATGTAAAATTGAAAATTAATGAAGATCCGTTATTTATACAATGTATGCAATATCATATCGGTACATGTACTATGATACTATAACTAAAATTTGTTCGATGATTTCCCGTTGGGTGCCATACTTATTTCTCGAGTAGGGCAGATTATAGAATACTTTAGACGAAAATTCCACCCTCGGATTTTCGGATATAATTATCCGAGGCCTAAGCAATCCATGATTTGCATATCTGTATAGTCTAATACGTCTATCTATCTATTGAAACCGATACTGCTTTGCTTTCTCTTTGGTAGTTCTTACAAATGTAGCGGACCTAAACTTGGTAGTTCGCCGGCGAACAGGAAACTCACTTGGTAGAGCGTCCGTCAGGAGTTTGGTGGGGCTCGGGTTCTAGCCCTGCATTTTCCCTTTTCTATCATATGGACATGGTTGAGCGACCTGTTTATTGCGTCTACCTGTCCGTAGAGACAATCTGTCAATAAAATAGCTGTTGCTGTCTCCATAGGTGGTCTTACCGACACTGTTAATGTTTATGAACAATTAGATTTGGAAAAAACGCATTAAGAGAATACCTACAGATTATTCATGATCTACAAACAAGTTAACAAGCTCATTACGCCAGTGTTTTACTCTTGTCATGTTTGCAAATAAAATGAAATACTTATTTACCTTTAACAGATACCGCAACCTGTTTTTCCAATGTTATGACGATTGATGGTATAGCTAAACAAGCTGGTGGTTCTGAATATCGTTCCTATGCGAAGGACTGTTTCCTACTATGTGTAGAACCCGCGTGTGTTGGATTCCGATACATGAAAAGATACTGCATCCCACTCATATACAACCTCTCAAGGTCATATACCAAGGGAGGTGTTGCAAGTCTACTGTATAAGAAAGGTAGGCGATTGTAAGTATTTTTGATGACGTGACTGCTACAGTGCCATATACTCGAGCTAATTTATATATTAAAATATATGTATACAATACACGATAAGGGAGAAGATTACAAATCATTCCAAATAAAATTGCTTTGCAGATCTTTTTAATTCTAAAAGTGACGAGCATTCAATGTTAAGGGTCCCTCATATCTAAAAGATTTTCTAAAAATGTTTGTTTTATGACATGGCAAGTAAAACACATTGGTAGATGATGATCTTGTTGTTCTTCACTGAACATCAGACATATACGTAAAATCATTCAAATTTTGTGGAGCTAAATTGTCTAAGTATCTTGTACCTGTACATAAGAACTGTTTGATTATATAAAATAATGTTTTGAAAAGATAACCAATTTAGTTTTTTGAACATATCACAGGAAGGTGTGGAAAATCACAATTTAAAGTGAGCCCGGCTGCTATCTTTTGCAGACGTTCTAATTTGACAATTCTACTTTTTGAACTGTTACCCCAAACAGTAGTGCAGTAGTTCTGACGAGGGTTTACAAAGCAATTATAAAGTCAAACAATATGTCTGGCTCATGAAGGGTCTCAGCTTTTTCATCTGAAACATTTGACGTCCAAAGACACACAATCATTTATTGACACTCCCAAGAGTTTTTTCACAATTTAGGTTTTCAATGTTTACATTGTTGATAACAATGGGCAATACTTCTTTTAGTTTACATTTTCTCTGCGAAGTAGTACATTGTAACAAGCATGACATTTGGGCTTTTTCTGTGTTTACACACATTTTGTTTTCATCATAAACATTTTGACACTACTTTTGCATCAGCATGGAGGCTGCTATTTACAACGCCAAATGGTTGTCCTTGCGATTGTACAAGGAACTTTAACTTGTAATCAGGGGCAGGTCATTTACATATAAAATGAACGAAAGTGGCCCCAATTTTGAATCTTGAGGGAAGCCGACTGTAAGAGGGAGAGAATCACTCAAAGTGTTCTTAAAGTTTAAAATATTAATACCTCCCGCTCAAATAACTTTGAAAAAAGATAATTGATTAAGATGAATACCCATACAATTCAGATATTAAAACAGAGTGGTTCACAAGGTCGAATGCCTTTCGAAAATCTAGAAATAGATACCACCAGGTGTTTCTAATATTAGTTAGCGCAGTCTGACATGAGTGTTTTGCTCCGGTTACGGATTGGCTATCTGTAATCAAATTGTGGTCAGGCAAAAGTAAAAATAAATAAGTGGCCATGAATATGTTTTTCTTGACTTTTTGATAAAACAGGTAGAACTGATATTAGCCTGTAATTACACAAAAGCTCTTTTCTACTCTTTTGAAAAAGCGGGCTTACTTTCGCATACATCCAAACTTTAAAAAAATGCGCTAATATTCCAGCCAGGTGACTTTGTTGACATCTAAATTCAATAAAGAGTATTCAATAAAAGTAGCGTCACCTTAGGGAATATTAAATATGTTACCGCTCAGTTTTTCTTGTGTGTACACGTTAAGCCTTTTTAACGTATCTGAAGAGTCGTTTTTATAAGCTTCTTTTACATACAAATCTACTTTATTAGTGAAATACTCATTAAAACAATTTCCTTTTACAGCTTCATCAGTTATATCATTGTCATTTGGATCCTTTATAAAACTCGGTAAACTTGAAGATTACAAGGTGATGAATAGCTTGTGCTTGGCCGTTACCTCTCCCTTAATACCTATTTATATTTCAAGTTCTTTATTACTTTGAGTTTTTCAACTCTACAGTTACCAGTAACAAAAGTGCAACATTTACAGTGCAAAATACAAATAAGATTGAACACCATTACACAACATTACACACACTTACTAAACAATTACAAATAGATACAGTATCATATGTTTGGAGAGTGCAACTAAGCTATTTATAATAATAAGTTTCTTCTCGAATAAGCAGATTTTATATATTTCCCTAAATTCGTTATTTCTTTTGTATTTTTCACACTCAGTAGTCCTATCAATTTTAACATGCTTGGCTTTATAATGTTATAAGTTTTCAAAAATTTTGCTCGCAAATCTGAATAACATGGGCATTTAAGAATGAAATGAAACTCATATTCAACATCATCTAAATTACATAATTTACATACTCGACGACTTCGTTCAATGTTTTGCTATCGCTCTTTTTTAAGTTATGAGAAGGTAATTTATTTTTTGTAATTTCTTTCAGATATTCTTTTGGTAGGGTTTACGCTGGTAGTTTTGTAGATCAAAACTATCGTAAAGATATCTATAAACGTTAACTTTTGCGGATATTTTATTTTGTTCTGCACATTCTTCTCTAAAAATATCAATTAGTATTTCTTAAATTCATTAATAGAACGTGTTGTCGTTAATATCATATTCCCAAATAGACCCTAGGCCTATCATGTATAGCTCATCATTGATGTTCATTATCCATTTATTTTTATTCTCTACCGTTTGTTGTAACATGCTTATAAAATACAATTATCAGTTTCTTTTCAATTTTATTCAATATTTAACAAATGTTGAATATCCTTAATAACGATAAAGGATACCTGTCAAGTTTTAAGTACACCATGGCATTACAAACATACAAAACATAGAATGTCCTTTCTCGACAGCAGGGGCTTATGAAAACCCTTTATTTCCGCACCATAGCTTAATATGCTATTAACATATGTGTCAAAAACAAACAACTGAGTTTCAGTATTAAAAAAGTTGTTTTGACATAAACTCATAACGGCAAATAATGTTTTTCTACCTTGTTCTGATTTTTTTTGTGTTTTCCTAAACGTCCCGTTGTAATTTAGCAAGACTCCCAAGTAATTGAATTCATTTACAATTTCTAAATTACAGCCTTTATATGTCCGATTTTTTCATTCTCAGATAACCACCATTTCTAAACACAAGAATTTATGTTGTGTTAATATTGACAGTAAGACTCCATTTCTCTGTATAAGATTCTAAAGAATTTAACATTGATTGTTGGCTCTCTGGCATTTCTGAAATAATAACCATATCGTCGGCGTACATAAGTAAAAAGCTTATTCAACATTTGTATTTATATCGATGCACAATTGTCAGTTAAAAATTGCATTTCACAATCAGTTACATACAAAGCAAATAGTAGAGGTGATACAATTTCCCCTTGAAACAATCCATTTTCCCAATTGAAATAGTCTGATAATGAGCAATTATGATGTTTTACGGAACATTTCACACAACTATACAACGATCTAATTAATTTTAACAACTTCCCATCAATTCCTAACTTTATCAATTTGAACCATAAGTTTTGGCGATTAATAAAATTAAAGTCTTTGTGTAATCAATAAAACAACAATATAATATTTGTTTTACCAAATTTAAGTATATTATTGAATAAAATAACAAAACACAGCACTAAAACCGTCTTACACTTAATTATGTATTTATTTAAAATGTTGCCCGGGCCATATGCATTTATTGTACCTAATTTCTTTATTGCGTATAATATCTCTTCTTCTGTTATATCTATATCTAATTCATCAACAGTAACAGTAGAGGAGTTACTATTGTAGTCGTGCATAAAATCAATTATGTCAACATTAACTATAAGGTTTAGTTGCATATAATTTTGGTAAAGTGTTGAGGGATCAAATTCACTCAAATCACTTTTAATATTTTGCTTATTTTTTTTAAATGCTTGTAAAACCTTTCAGGGTTATACCTTCTCACATAATTCAGCATGTAGCTCTTATGGCCCTTATATTATTTCTTCAGCTTATATTCAAACTTGTTTTACATTTTTTTCTTATTAATCTAATTGAACCGATTTTCATCATTTTCACATAGATTAAAAACATACAGAGCGGTTTATAATTTCTATATCTTTTCTTACAACTATCGTTAAACCGAGGTTTATCCTTGGTAGCTTCTTTTCGTACACCGCTGTATATATTAGTTTTTGTACAAAAAGGTAGAACACTATTATTTAACTCGCATGTAAACAAATCAACAGACAATCAACAGCAAAAATATTTATATTATTCTCTAGTTTTGTCTCACTGTTTCCTCTGTGTTATCATCGTTCCATTTCGCATTTACATGTTCATCATTCTTTTTAAGCGAAATGTGTTCAACAACGTCCGACAATCTTGACGATGTACGGTTAAAACACAAATTAACATTAACACAAAAAGTGTCTGGGCAGTGGTCAGAGTAACTGTTAAAATCACCGGCTTTAAAACTGTTTTGCAAACAAAACAACTTTCTTCTGTAAGTTATCTATGACACTAGTTCCTCTAGCGTTATAAAAAGTTATACTACCTTCTGTAAGTTATCTATGACACGAGTTCCTCTAGCGTTATACCTTCTGGATTACCGTTAACAATTCGAAGTGAAGAGGTTTTGGACATAGTTATATCTGGCGGCCAAATTGATAGACAGTCTTGTCCGTACTTTTACGTTTTTCATACTATTGTTTGGCAAATGGCTTACAATGTTAGAAACATTATTACTTGGTGCATTGCTCTGTAGGTCCGTGCCAATGAAAACATCAACTTCACCAATTGGACTGTTAAAACCTCCTATAGCCAATATGCTACAAGAGGGTTTGCCCTTATATACATAGAAATACTTTTTTCTAGTTTTACAAAAAGATCCACATCATGCGTATCATAATAAGTAGTATTAGCTGGCTGTAAATAATTAACAAATATGTAAATATCTTAATCATGTCGTGATAAGTCACGTGCTGTCTTGAGTACTACGATACTATCATTTACTTTTTTGAAAACAGTACAATACTTTTTCAAGTCGTTTTTTTAAAAAAAAATATCACAATACCTCCGCCATTCCCATCAGTTCTATCGACTGCATGACTTGTATAACTAGGTACATGTAGCTGTATAGTAAATACTCTCGTT